TTAAAAATTTCGTATTTTACTTAGTACCCAAAAAAGTACTGGCGCGCTTTTCCAGTCTTAGTCATTGCCGTTGGGGTGATTCCGAATTCCTTGAAGACTGAAAAAACTGTCCATGGGGACCTTGTTTTGATGATTCCCGTTAAACTAAAAAGTCTAAAAGGTCTACTTTAGATTTTTAGACCATCTAGATTRACGGGAATCGCCCATTGGCACGATCCGATGATGATGAAAATACTGGTACCGTAGGCTATGCAATGGTACGTTGTCTAGTCTGGTTCGTGTGTACGGTAGTGACTCGTAACCAATGCTCCACGGTGCGAACCGTACGACAGAAAATAGCGTACCGTACCGGAGTGCCGGACCGTTTGTACTGCCGTGCGATGCAACTACGACTGACTCGTACACATTCGCGTAGAATAGTACAGTACGAGTAGTACGGTACTGAAAGAGAAGATTTTTTAACCGATGAAAAGAGCCAAAAAGCACGCCATCGAAAACAACGCCTCGGAAGAGTAACAAGCTGCATCTACAAAGCAAACACTGATCGTTGTGCTACTTGCTCCCGTAACAACCAACAGGCCATCACTATGTCAACCTTTTTKTTCACTTCCGAATCCGTCAATGAAGGACATCCTGGTACGTAACACACAAGACTGTGAAATTAGTGGAGTGGCACAAGATGTTGTGTAACACCGGCGCTTGCACCACTACCAGCAACAACGTCTCCTTTTTTTCCAAGTAGGTTCTCATTGTTGTTCCTCTTCTTCCAATCATCCTGTTGGAACACGCATCGCACAATGCCTTGCTTCGTTCAATATTATTATCGTGGCATGCACTCCCCCAAATGGAATCAATAACGAAACAACGATTGGATTCTTGACTTTTGTGCATTGAATGCAAAYATCTGCTTTTCTGCTCTATCTGTCGTTCATGACRCTATTTCGCACCCTGGAAACGATAAACCTCGAAACCAACCTTTGAAACTACAAATMAAACGCAACACAAACCAAAAATAAATCGATCCCTTTGGTCATGCGCAACATGRAACACAAACACAACAAATTAAAACGCATTGCATTGTGTAATACACAATGGCGAATACATACGAAATACCAAAACAAAAATCTCAGACAAGCTGTCCGATCAGGTCTCGGATGCTGTACTCGACGCCTGCCTCGCCGGAGACGAAGCCTCCCGTGTAGCCTGCGAGACCTGCTGCAAGACGGGAATGGTCATGATCTTTGGAGAAATTACGACTTCCGCCACCGTCAACTACGAACAGGTTATCCGCGACGCCGTCAAGGACATTGGCTATGACGACCCCGCCAAAGGATTTGACTACAAGACCTGCAACGTCATAGTGGCTATCGAGGAACAATCCCCGGATATTGCCCAATCTGTCGACGCCCAGAACATGGAGGACCTCGGAGCTGGTGACCAGGGTATCATGTTTGGCTACGCTACGGACGAGACGGAAACCCTCATGCCCCTCACGCACATGCTCGCTACGCAGCTTGGATCCAAGATCACGGAGGTCCGCAAGAACGGAGTCTGYGACTGGGTCCGGCCCGATGCTAAAACGCAGGTCACCTGTGAATATAAGCTCGACGAGAAGGGCGTCCCAGTCCCACAACGCGTCCACACGGTCGTTATTTCCTGTCAGCACTCGGAAGACGTTACCCAGGAACAGATTGCTAGCGACCTCATGGAGCACGTTGTCAAGACGGTCATCCCCGAAAAATATCTCGATGAAAAAACTGTCTACCATCTTAACCCGTCGGGAAGATTCGTCATCGGTGGACCCCATGGAGACGCTGGCCTTACGGGGCGCAAGATCATCGTAGACACCTACGGGGGCTGGGGAGCCCATGGGGGTGGAGCCTTTTCCGGAAAGGACACCACTAAGGTCGACCGATCCGCGGCTTACGCGGGCCGCTGGGTTGCCAAGTCCCTGGTGGCCGCCGGACTTTGCAAGCGCGCTTTGGTACAGCTGTCGTACGCGATCGGGATCAACCGGCCTCTGTCGGTCTTTGTGGATACCTACGGGACCGTGGCCGAGGGCAAGACGGACGCCGATCTGACGGCCATTGTCGAAAAGAACTTTGACTTGCGTCCCGGAGGCATCATCCGTGACCTTAACCTCCGCCGCCCCATCTTCCGCAAGACGGCTGCCTACGGGCACTTTGGACGGGAGGATCCAGACTTTACCTGGGAGAAACCCAAGAAGCTCGAGTTGTAAAGCACCATWCATCCGAGAAAAGAAGGAATTGACTAACGAAGAACCTAACCAACACACGCACATATAGTAAAATTAACGAATTACGAAAGAGATAATAATAACTGTGATAAGAATGACAACAGTCTCTTGAACAGAAACCCTNTGCTGGCAAGTTATTGGCAATCCCCGTACAAATACTAATAGAAATTTTTAGCTCATTTTTACAGTTAAAACCAGTTAAAAATGGCATCCAACGGACGAAAATAAAAATATTTCCATTGTTTAATTTCTCGCTGGTCCCAAAATATTTCTATTAGTGGTCCTTACTACTGCTGGGGATATAAAATCAGTGCTTGCTACTTGAGAATTAATATTAGTGCTTACTACTGGATCACCTCCATTACAACTTACTACTTGGGATGCCATAGTAGTGAACACTGCGAACTGCTGGGTAAGGGGGTTCTGTTAGTGCTGCGAGAGTATTAATTCTCAAGTAGCAAGCACTGATTTTATATCCCCAGTAGTAAGGACCACTAATAGAAATATTTTGGGACTTTGTAGTTTTTTTGTTTGGAGGGGGGGGGGGGGAGAGGGAAAAAAAAAGACGGGAAAATAAAAAAAATTGACAGTCGGGAAATTGCCAATAACTTGCCAGCACTGGAATTGTACTTAGTAGCTCTAGTTCCTACATCCTAACGTACATACTGTTGTTTCGATACGTAAACGTACGAAGCCTGAAAGAAATTAATCCTATTGACTAGATAAATTARTAAAGAATGAGAATCTCTGGATATGGGAATGTTTCTTCCCTTCTCCCATCGGATTCTCTTCACACATTTTGTTAAACAAATAGTCCACAAATATGTCCATGTTGGACAAATAAACAAATATGACGTCATCCACATTGGTCGCGCCGTCTGTTCGTCAACACACTCCTCACTGTAGCATCAYCGTAGCCATGGTAGACTTGGCATTGGTGATCGCGTGCATTGCCTTGATTGCGGGCGTATCACTGATACTATTCCATGATRGTCTTCAAGCTGAAGCTGCTGCTACAGTGTTATCTTGATCCTTCATACGGAGCAACCGGGCGTCATTATATTGTTGCTTGTAGTGAATGTAATCCTTTTCAGTCACCCCTTGAATRGTGTTACGGAATCGTCGGAACTTGGCTCCCTGTAAAGGCTTTGTGAAGTAGTCGGCAACAATTTCGTCRGTAGGGCAGTATTCTATGGTTACCTCTCCCTTCTTCACTCTGTCGGTAACAAAGAAATATCGTATGTTAATGTGACGGGTCCTTTTAGTACTGGATGCTTTTCCATTYCTCTCGAGCCTAATAGCGCTCTCATTGTCCTGGTACAATGTATTGCTCTTCATTAGCTTCATCGACTCGGAGTCAATGYTTCCTGCATTGTCGGTCATATGCTGACGCTGGGCCATTAGGAAATACCTTGCCCATATAATGAAAGGCATATTATCATCAACRCCGACAACCTCCGCTTCTGTTGAGCTCTTGGTGTTAAGCTTTTGTTTAGTGCATGTTGTAATTRCCGCACCCTGTCCGAGCGTCATCATCCCCCCGGAATGGCTACGCATATCATTATGCACGGCGAAAGCTGCATCCACGTGCCAGTACATGTTGCCGGATCCATCCCATCCCAGCATCAGAGGCAGAAAAGGTGTTTCACTCAGGTAACTCATCACCCGCTTGAGTTTCTTCCAGTCATCAACATCCRGAGATGATATGCGAGTACATAGGAAAGCAACGGCTGTCTGTATGTCCGGCCTTGTTCTCTTCGCCATATACAAYAACTTTGCAACGTAATGGTGGAAACGGACAGCATCATCTTCYGACAGCTGCCTTGCYTCCTCATTCACCCTGAACAGGTGGTCAGAGGCTGGCGTTGCGGCACTTCCCCTGAGGCTATCGGGTAGYCCTTGAAGTATGTCCTCAAGATARTCAAACATACTCAGCATTACCTTTCCAGGCGTTGAGTAGTCAAGTGTCATGCCCACATAATCATGGATCTTTCCTCTGGTTTCAGTAAGAGGTGACTCGACGCCAAACTCCGCGTTGAGATCTTTTATGATCTTGGTCACGACGGTTGAATCCTTATGGGATATCTTGAGGTCATCCACATGCCAAACAATAGTACATTGTTGTCCATTGATTATCTTGTTTACAGTGCATGGGTCGTATGGGTTCATCTCGAACCCCCATTCGGAMAATTTBCCGTACAGTTTCTCCCAAAACAGGAGGGCTGCTCTGAGGGTCCCATAAATGGCTTTCTCTGCCCGAGTAAACAGTGTCTTCTTTCCATCCTTGTTGAGGAGGTATTTGGTGTACATCTTTGGGTCGACACGACACAGCAGCTCGGCCATGGTACCATCMAAACGGATGTACACATCCTCTCCTTCTGGCATATCGGTCTGTAGGAAGGCTCCCGGTATGTCGACAGTTGCCACATCTCTYTCTTCTATGGCATCGATGATACAGGAGAGCACGAGGGCATACAAAGACACAGTTGGCGATGTTGCCTCTTCTTTGCTGATGTACTCCCTTTGACGTCTTCCATCRGCACATCCCCTGCCCTTGATGGAAGTGTCCCTTTTCCTTTTAAGGAACATCAAGTACGGCAGGGCTTGTTGCACCATCTCTTTGGTCATTGTCTTTGGGTCCAGTGMGGACAGCACYTTTCGATCATGGATTTGTTGCAGTTCTTTTAGGACTGCGTTTACCCCGGCCTCRCCAAAYAACCTGATTCCTTTCTTCACGCCGTAYTGTGGTGTCACYGCTGACGCCTYGAGATTGTTATACTGCTTAATGGCATTGGCCACCAGTGTAATTGCCTGGTGCTCMTGGTTTATGTGATCAATTGCCTTTTGGTACCCAACCGTGAAGAATGAACGGCTGTGATTGGCTACCACAAATCCATCGGCTTCCCCATACTTGTTGTGGGTCCGCTGCACTGTTGGTCTTAGTCGTGCACTGACAGGCTCGTTGTCCTCTGGTTCAACCTCAYTGTCGGTTGGGTTGCCATCCGCATCGTATTGGTCGTCTGCAGCCTGGTCTTGATCATCACGATCATCTGCCAGTGRTGGYTCGACCTCRACGGCCGTATTCACTGGTTCCTCTGTGACGGTCCCCTGATCCTCATCATCCAGCTCCTGTTCTTCCACTTCGGCTGCATTGGGATCAACAGATCCAATAGTGTCATTGTCATCTGCCTCAGTCCCCGTGTCATGGTATGTTGTATCTGATGCATCATCATCATCCGCATTTTCTGCGGTATCCAGGTCCAATATGGTGGTGTTACCATGTTCATCACCAAAGATTATACCACTGTTGCACTTCTGTGCCTCGGCTATGTCGGTGATCTGTTTCACCATCGCATCGGTCAGTGGTGTAGATGTTGCTGATGTTCTATGGATTCGTCTACCGGTATTCATATCRTAGGCCCAGAAACCCCCGGTGAGTGTCCCAGTTGGCCTCAGGTACAACGCGTCCACGGCTCTTGGTTCCATGGTGTTGTTCGTATCATCCACATGTGCAAGTATTGGCTCCATGAACTGGAACTTRCAGTCCTTTGCATCGAGCGGTATTCCTGTCATCAGCTCCCGGGCTGACATGGACTTACATACTCCAGTTGTTCGGCAGTTCAGCCAGAACACCACCGCATAGACAAGCTCAATCACACACCTCTTTGGTAGTTTGGTGAATGGTATGTGATTGAAATAGCATCGCACGTTCTCTTTGACTGTGCGGATGCTCCGTTCRATTGTTGGGTCGTGCTGACCAGCACCGACACAGTGAAGCTGTACCGGCGGCTGTAGTTGCAGTAGGTTCTCCCTAATGCACTCAAATTGATTGTCCCCACACAGCTGTGTGATCGTAAAACCTCGCGTCTGGTATTGACCACMCAGCGACTTAACGCAGCCGAGCAGTGTGGAGGTGTTCAMATTGGTCACGGCTCTTGCGGTTCGAAATCGTAGATGTCTTGATACTGTGTGTATGAACCGTATCCCGTTGATAGTCATTACATCTATGTGCACGGTGACATTCCTGTATTGGTCATGCAGTTCCTTTGGTACTGCCGTGAGGTCCTCACGCATGTGTCCGGCGCTRGYACGCACCTGCTTTCCTTTCACCACACCAGAGTGCTTGCCGAATATATSATYAGCATTCATTACATCACGTCGCGTGACTCCTGTRTTTGCGATGAGCTTCTTGTCAAGCATCCTAACGAGATCATTTGCAGTTGGAAAACCAACTGTCTCTTGAAGTTTCCGGGCCTTTTCAGCTCTCCTAACATCCAGATCGGAGAACTGCTGCTTGTTCCCTTCAACAGTTAGTATTGTTAATACTGTCGACTGTTGCTTGGTCCTCACATCGTGATAGTACAGGTTGCACGGTGATCTACCAAACCTTTGTGTAGTCCCATCGTCATTGTGTACATGCATTGCATTGTCAATGGATGTATCCATAGTTACTCGACGRCTGTCGKATACGAGTGCAAGCGAGAGCACGCTGGCTATTCCCTCTGGATAGTACCACACTTCCCCGTATCCTGGAAGGTCTGCGATTTGGTCCGTGTGAGCCACCCCCGAGTTACAGTATATCTTCATGCTTTGTTTATTCGGTGCTTTCCTAATATTTGTGACCAACTTTGGATTGGTTATTAGATTGCACGAGGATTCACTGTCCAGCAGTATCCAGTTTTCGTTGATCCGCCCGTTGCTTGAGTTGGAAGTTTGTGCTAGCATGCGWTCAACATTACGGCTGTACTTGAATACTGTGATGACCCCATACCTCAAGGCCTGCTTATCAGTGTATTCAAGATTCAATGCATTCAGTGACTGTCCGTGTCTTGGCTTGAAACTGGTGAGGTCACTCACATCCCTCAGTTGTGTTAGATGGTTAAGCCGCGATACTTCAACAAYCTTTGGCTGCTGTGTTTCCTCATCGCGCTCCTCCGCTTTGGTTGGCCCATCTGTTACATCCGGTGTTGTCACGTGAACTGGCTGGTGGCCGACACTTATGCACTCCTCAATTTCAACGGGTTCCATGCACTCCTCAGGTTCAACCGGTTCATCATCGATGTTGTAATCATTCCACGAGGGTTCATTGCCCTCCGCACCGTTGAGTTCAAGTTCCTCATCACGGCGCGCCCAGTAGTCCCAGTTTTCTTGGTCCTCATCTGTACTAGCTGTAGTGCTGATATCGKCGTTGGTGTAGGATGATTGACTGCCGTCGAAATCCTCGCTACTCCACTGTACGTGGCATTGTGAAGACTGTGGTACACTTCCMACACCGTCCTCAGTGGTGCTGACAACACCGAATTGAAAGTAGTTATCCATCTCTTGCCCRAAGTCCTCGTCGTTTGCCACTGCCTTMATTAGCATGCTTCGTGCGGTATGGTGGTTGTTTTGTTGTTCAACTCCGTTGGTCACAAAAGTCGTGGACTCCTTTGAGTCGATTATTCCATTGTTCTCAAACGACTGGTCTTCCGCCTTATT